TTCTTTGACCTTCAATTCTTGGCTTGACAGGTTATGACTAAATTTCATATAGATATTTCTATATCAATACCGAATACGAAGTCAAAATCATAGCCTTTCATGGAGCGGATAGAAATATCTGACAATGTGCTGTCAAATGTGCATATAAAAGTTGCGTATGCATACGTCTATTGAGATGAACTTCCAAGATCCCGGAGAGCGAGCCGCAATGGCACACTATGCCTTAACTGGCATTTTTGAAAATCAAGAAGAGGAAATAAACTGCGAATCTGACCTTGAAAACACATACTCCGATTTATCCGGTGAACGACAGTGTTCGGCGCTATCGGCATATCGGAGAAAAACCAGTGAGGAAAATGATGACGATGAAAACGATACTGACGAAAACCTAACTCCGTCATATTCATCATGTACCTGTGCGTACAAAAACACAGTGGAGCAGCTTCAAAACGTTGAGATAAATACGTTCACTCGTCAGAAACTCCATAAGCAAACAACAAACTATCTTTTCCTTTCGCTGAGTGCATCTTCATCATATTTTTCAGTAATACTTTTGTTTACTTTTCTTTTTTCTAACGTAATTCGGTCGTACTAATTGCCGGACAAAGTCGCTCCGTATGAGCGGTATATTTCACGATAGTTCGCTCGAACGACACAATATTCTCCAGAAATAGGTACGTATACGGAAGCTTAGGCACCGCGCTTTACACTAGAATCTGTTTTTTTCTTGCTTGTGCATGATTTTTAATTTTCTGCATGCATTTTAGTTTTCTACTCGTTTTCTTTTGTAGTAAAAGAAAAAATTTCTGTACAGTTTCATACTGAATTCAGCAGTTGTAGCCGTTTATCATTAACTCAGAAAAAAACTAATGTCTTTCATTGCTGAAAACCAATTTCATATTGATTTTGATATGCGATGAAAGACAACATATGATAGTAAATCTCGATTTATCCTGTTGTACTCTCATTAACCGAACTCATACTCATTTTTTTGGCAAATCATGTGTATACAGTAATTTTGTCTCAAATAATTAAATGATTCGTACTACCTCTTGCTCCGCTTAAAAACCAAACCAGTGCTGCAAACCAAACCAGTTGCTGCAAACCAAACCAAACCAGGCCGTTGAAGCATATTTTTAAAATCAGTAAGATCTTGAATTTCAGTATTAGATACTTCAGTTTTCGACAGGCTTTTGCCAAAGCAAAAGTCAAAAGAAGTGGAAAGAGTATGTTCTACTCGCTCACCCACTGAAACTGCGATGCGTTTATGCGCCACCCGTTAACACTGAAAGCTAATAAACAGACGATTAATAATGCTTTAGTCGATCGTCGACTATAATTTTTTTCTCAAGAGGCGGTTCATTTATGATACAGGTGCTGATCAAGTCATTACTGTCCAGGTCGAAGAATCGTACTAGGATCGTATCTGAATCAGATAAAATCGTACCAAATCGTATGAAAATCATATATGATTCGTGGTATCTGATTTGTCCTCTGGATCGTATAATACGATCGTACAAGGTCATATACGATCATACAACTTCGTATGAAATCGTACAGTACGAGCCAGACGATAAATCAGGTACCACGATTCGTATGTAGATCGTACATAATCGTATATGATTTCGTACGATTCGTATAACTTTTCGAGAAATAATGTGGTGTTTGAGAGAAGAAGATGGTATAAAAATGTTTAGCGGATTGAGCGCTATCATCCAGACTACGCTACTTATTCGTTTGGTCACCCAAATTGTGAAGCTTTCAGTGCACAGGTTAATCTGTACGTTTGGGTAATGTGGGATTTTGAACAAAGCAGGAAAAGGACTAGTTAAACAACGCAGTGAAAGTGTGCGTTATAGTGAATAGCTAACAGAAGCGTTATTAAATAATAAATTAGACCAACTACGAAAATAATTATAACCTGTTTCTTCCGTCGCAGTTATACTTTTTACCTGTGATGTTTGTGAACGGCAGATGTATCCTCAGTTGTCTTCCTAACATTTCAGGCCGGCCATGTCTTGAAATTGGAATTGAGAACCCGTTTTCTTGATATATATGTCCAAAAAGAGAACATGTTTCTTGACGAACTCTATCAATATCACCCAGATGTTATTAGAGCATATTGTGTTAAAGAAATCTCTATTACTGTTTTCTGACAAAGTAGCAACAAATGTACATAGACTTATTTTGACTATATTTCAAATGAAAACCGCCATCTTTTTTTGTCATATTTTTTGGTGAAAAACTGTCAACGGTTGGTGCTCCGATTCTCTATTCTCATTATAACAGGCATTCTACTATTCTCTTCATTTTGATTCAACTAAAGTTCTTGGCTTGAAGATTATGACATTCAATGTGTCATGACATTTAGTGTTATTGAAGCGTCTATAACAATCGTATTGTCGAATTTCCCTATGAATATCAGCCAGATGTTATGTATTTTCAGGAAAATATAATGCATCTGAATGTCATACAGATTGAAGATTGTACGCAAATCCTGAGCTGTGAAGCCTAGAATCGATGGAATCTGAGATTTTAATAGAAAATATTTTCGAAAATAAAAAATGTAAAAAAGCCATGCGATTCCTCTCATAGTTTAAATCTTAACAAGAAAAATCTCTGATGTTACGTGTTTCTTTTTACTTTTTTCTAATTTTTCTCTTCTCACTTTTATTATTTGATACATATTAATAGACCATAAAGAATTAAAATCTTTCTTCCACTTTTTTTTCAAAATAAATGTTGAACAAGTTATAAATTTATCATTAGAAATAAATTCTGTTTGTGGTTATGATACTCACCTTTGTCATTCTATTAAAGAGTTCAATACTGTATGATTTTAATAATGAGGAAATTATTATACAGTAGGAAGAGTTAGACCTATTTTAAAAGAAATCGACCGAAATTAGCAATATATATTCCCAAGCAAAAATCACCTATGGAAAAAATCTAGATGCATTTCGTCGGTAATCGGGCGATAGATGTTCCTCTTTGGCATTTCATCAAGGAAGTTATTCGAAGCCATCCATCATCCGCTTACAACAAGTAATCTTCCAACGCTACTCTCAGAGACTTTTCTTTCGCTATCGATAGATGATTAGTTGTCATCTCGATTACTAGTTGGAAAAGGAACTTTTAACTAGATGTGTCTGCATGTGCTGCTAGCAATCATTAAATCGAGCGGTAAATCAATAATTGCAACTGAGGAGATCATCTAGCAATCGCTCGATTACCAGATTTCCACTATCGTTACCAAATAATTTCAATCGAGTAAAAATCGAGTAATCAAAATGGATTTGGGGATACTCGATTTTGTTTTACGCTTAGGTTTTAAAGTACGGTTCTTTTCACAGATAAGGTTTTCAGATGTTTCTTGCATCGTTCAATGAAGAAGCATCCGCTTAAAACGGTTGTATTTCATTTTTTGTCGAATCTCGATGATTTCTCTGCAGTCACAAGCAAAATATTAAAATATGTTCGACTCCGTTCTAATTATTCCACTCTCCTCCATATTTTCAAAACAAAGTTTAGCCTGTTCCGTTGAGCACAGCTGCGTTTGAAGTTAACTTCAAATTCAAACATAGTGCTTCCATTTTTTCCCACATTTTATACCAATAAGATCGTTATAGCCAGAAACAAAGTTTCAAAAACTCTAAATCGTTAAACACTATTTGGTAAATATGATCAAAATCAATGTTTGTGTGACTGATCTAACTAAAAATCATTTTTTAATTTAAACATATCTCCTGTATTCGATGTGGCGTTAAACGTAGAGCATTATTACAGACATTTATTTTTATAAGAAATAGACGTCAACAAACAGACGGATATAAAAAACGAGTAACAAATAACAGGTGATGAAAGATTTCTTTCTTTTGAAAAAAAAAAACAATAAACTTGAGCACTCGCATTCAAATAAATACTATATAAAATGAACAGACCGTATATATTACACAGAAAAATAAAACAATTAGCAAAATAAAGTCGAGATGTGTCAGTATCTATCTACACTGCTAATAATAAACAAACACCACCTAATACCCATTTTGCCGCTTTTTCTTTTGTTCGTAAATTGAACGTCCAAACAAATGTTGGACCACGTTGTTTTGTCTTGTACACGGGACATTCGTAGATATTTTTTGTTTCACGACGATCGACTAAAACATTATTAATCGTCTGTTTATTAGCTTTCAGTGTTAACGGGTGGCGCATAAAGAATCGGATTCGTTTGTTTTGCCTATAACTCCGTCAGTTCCAATCTTATCGATCCAATTTTTTCTCCAAAAGATTCCCCGTTCAATTCTCTACAAAACCATGTACTCGTTTTTTTCAGATTCTTCTACGAAAAATTTTTTAATCATGAAAAGTAAAGACCTCCAAAAATTGGTCCAAGCATCAAAATGGAGAAACACCCAGCAAGATATTTCGGGATTTGAAGGGTGCCATTAGTCGTACTCAGGTTCTTCAATGGTGCAAAATGATCTTCGAGACTGGCTCTATTGAACTGTCAACGTCTCCAGGTCGACCTCGTATTATTCGAAGAAAAAATACGATTCAAAAAGTTAAAAACCGTTTAAAGCGGAAGAAACGCGTCTCAACTCGAAAACTGGCCAGTGAACTTAAAATTTCAAGAAGAAGTGTGCAGAGAATTTTGAAAAATGATTTAGGATTAACGTCGTACAAGAAAAGAATCGAACCACTACTCACAGACA